AACACAAAAAACCCAAACTCATAGAAAAAGAGATCCAATTTGTTGTTACCAGAGGCAGGAAGTGGGGAGGGGAAACTGGAGAAAGGTGGTCAAAAACGCAAACTTCCAATCACAAGATAAATATTTACTAGGGAGATGTAATATACAGTGTGATGAATTTATTTACTGCTGCATGATAGGTATGAAAGTTGAGAGTAAATCTTAAAAGTTATCACTCAAGAAAAAAAATACTTTGCTTCCTCTTTTTGTTTTATCTATATAATATGATGGATGTTAAATAAACTTATTGTAGTAATCATTCCACAATATATGTAAGCGAAACCATTATGCTGTAAATCTTAAACTTATACTGTGATAAATGTCAATTATATCTTAAAATAAATAAAAATATTTCTTAAAAAATCACTTAGCAAAAGATCTACCCTTTTAGATCTAAAATACAGATTTTTAAGTGTACGATAAGCATTAACTATATAGACTATGCTATACAGTAGATCTCTAGGACTTATTCATCTTACATAACTGAAATTGCCTGGAATAGTCTTACTCCCACACTGCACTCCCACACTTTCTTTTCCTATCTAAATTCAACTCATTTTTAACGTCTTAACCATCATTTCCTTAGGAAGCCTCTTCCTGACTCTCTAGACTAGGTTATTTTCCCTTGCTATACTCTCCCATAGCATCTCCCAGCCTGTCTTTTCATACTCATCACACTGGTAATTATTTGTCAAATTAATGGTTTTTCTGCCTGACCATAAATTTCATGGTGACAGAGAACATGTCTATCTACTATGGTATCCCCAGTGAAAGTGCCTGCTGGAGTAAAGAAGGCATTCAACATGTCTCCATTATATTCAAAAGCAATCAGTTGAACTGCTGACCATCTATAATATATGCATCTAGATTAAAGACCAGTCTATGAAACCCCCAAGGCCTACTCTATCCCCAGAATAGACCAAGAATTTTGCTCTGAATTTTGTCACAGATATACTTTAACTCTGTACTGTAAAGACATTCACATAGCCAGACCAATGCCAGCAGGGAAGAGAGAACCAAAGACTCATGCAACCTGGAGGTTAGGAAAACTAAATAGAACTGATGGTCTGGTCCCCTCCAGGAGATACACATCCTTTGCCAAAATTCACCACTCCACAAGTCTGAATGCTTTACCTGTGACCCTTGTGGAGTTTCCGGCAAAAGCTGCACCCAGAAGGTAGGAAGATGATCGCATCTGTGCATCCCTACACCCACTTGTTTACTTACCTCCATCCTGAATCCTTGATCTCACAAATATTTTTAACAACAATGTATACACACAGGAATTCTGCCTTTTGTTCAGTCCTTGAGGTTTTTAATCAAGCTATTTTCTGATAGTTTGAGGATCTGACAATGTCTTTCTACTGTCTGCCTTTAGGAATGGCTGCCTGACAGGATTAGGCAGCCTTGTGTGTCACTCTTTTATACAAGGGTTCAGAATAAGATAGTGCCTTTCCTTCCCAAAGAAGACTGATATACTGGAGAATGGGAAGATTGTTTTTTTTCTCTTACCATTGAGATGTTACAATAATATGCCTCATTAATAGTTTCTGATTAATGTTACTCAAAACAAGATGAAACCTTTCAATTTCTAATCCTATTTATTTTCTGTTCTGGAAAGCTTTTTCTTCTTTCACTATATTGATTGTTTTGGACACAGGCAAGCTGCCTTTCATCTGAGCAACAGCCCTAGAGTCAGCTTGAACCCACAGTAAGACTTTTTATTCTTCCAATTCTTGATACATCTTTACTTACTGAGGAATTTAAAAGTAATGAAAATTTTCAGAGAGTAGTTAGAAAGATTGCAGATGAACCTTTTCCTTGGTGAAAAAAAATCCCAAAGAAAAAGATAGTAGTTATAATTTTCCCATTTATCTAAAGCATGGGATTTTGTGTTATTTTTATAAGTTAATTTGTATAAATGTATGTGTGTATATATTATACAAAGCTCATATTTTTTCAAGCAGTGGGGATGGCTTTCTTAATAATATATTTATTATTCACCTAATTTGTGCTCTAAGCAGTATAAAATAGCACAAAATGAAAGGAGAAGCCATACAGTTTGTAAAACACAGCACCTTACATAAATCAGTCCATGTAAAAGTGAGTGCTGTTCAGGAACCTTGCGGTCACCTGGTCCAGACACCAGCATGTGATGTTAAAGAGAAAGAAGGTGCTGGTACCGAAGGGAAGGTTGTGCTTTGCTGGCTGGAAATAAGGAGAAAGGACGTGCTGCGGGCCTGCGATGACCAGGGGTGGGGGACACCTGGAGGAGGGCCCTGAAAGATGTAGACTCTCACCTGGGCTTCTTTCTGAGAAAAGTATGTATTTGCCAGGAAGCTGGCTAAGTCAGAGTATACAGCAGTGGCTCTCAAACTCAGCCATTTAACAGCATTACCTGGAAGACTTGTTAAAACAGGTTGCCGGACCCCACCCCAGAGTGTCTGAATCAGGATTCTTGGGTGGGCCCGAGAATCTGCATTTGTAACAAGTTATCAGGTGAGGTCCATGGTCAGGGGCCATACCTTGAGAACCATAGAACACGGTGTAGATAATGACTCCACAGACCCTGAACCCACAGCACTCAACTCCCACTTTAAGCATCAGCAGAAAACCAAGGCTTCTATGGAGTCAGTTTGTAGCTTACAGGAGGACATAGTCTAGGGGAAGGAAGTAAGAGGTATAAACCTTCCCCTACCTCCCACGTGGAAGCTGGATATGCCTAGGCATACAGTAAGAGGCAGCTGATACAGGAGGGTGGTATCTACCCCTGATCCATCCAGCACTCGCATAAAGACATGCAGAGAGCAGCCAAGGGAGAAATGAATGGGACCCTCTCCTCCTTCGGGGATAGGGGCAGCCACACAGGATTGTCACCACTATCACCACCAAGCCTGACCTTTGGCAGGTCCAGGTTGCTGCAAAGCAAATGCCTCATGAGTGTGAGGAGATCAACATCTCAGCAAGCCTTAAGCAGTGAGTTACACTGTCATATTTTCTGTCTCCCCAGGACATAGCCTATAGTGGCAATCAAATTTGGGGGTCCTACCTCTCCCCATAACCCTCCACCTGTGCCCCTACCTCCAGGGGGACAGTGCTCCACCCATCATCCTGTTCTTCACTCTGTTGGTGATGAGGTCTTATCCTTCCCTGGCTTCCTTCTCATAGCATACAGAGACATTTAAATCTCATCTTAAAATAAAATTAAAAAAGAAAACAACTCTCTCAATGCAGAGCTTCTAGCAGCTCCTTCCTTTCACAGATAAGTACCTGGAATTAGTTATCATCTTCCATTTAGCCACCAACTCCTTCCAATCCACTGCATCTACTCATGTTAAATTTCCAATAGACATTCACTCAGTCATTAATCTAACAGATGTCTATTGAGCCACGTACCCAGCATGATTCTACATGCTTGGGATGCAAAGATTTGTGCCCCACAGAGCTTGCAATCTAGTGAGAGCAAGGTAGACAAAAACAGTATATATGATACATAAGTAAATTTCATGGCTTGCCGGAAGTTCACGAGAGCTGAGGAAAAGAGCAGCAGAGCCGCGCAAGGAGGGTTGAGGAGATGGGAGTAGGGTGGAAATTTAAGTTACAGGCCAAGTTCAACATGCTGGGTCCAGATCTTTTTCTTCAATTAAATTAAAAGCAGATGAAAGACAAGTATATTAGCTATGATAACGTATTTATGAACTTTATAATTGTTTTGCTTTATGAAGAAATCCTACATAAATTCATTGAGGAAAGAACCCAGCCTGGAATTGAAAGCACAGGAAGAGTCTGTGGTCTCCAAAAAGGAGTAATTTTAGTATCTGGAAAAGGTGCCCACCATCTCCTTTGCCCGTGTAGCCTTGCTGTTCACTACACTATGAGGGCACAAAGCCTTGCATTCCACAAAGGGGGCTCAAATGTAGATGAGGGAACAATGGGGTATCTTAAAGGTCCTGAGCAACTAGGGATAAAGCAGAGAAATCACAAACAGAGAGCAGGCTTTGATTGTGGGTAGGAGTTTTGCACTGGGTACCTGCCTGGTAGAACAAAATCAAGAATACAACAGAGGAAAGTGGAAGAAATTCAATAAACATTAAGCCTTACAGTTGTATCCTGAGTCATTTTCAACAAGTTTACTTTCAGGGGATCTAAGTATGCAAAGGTTCAGGACAGGGGGCAACAGACACAGAGATCCCGGCAGGGCATCTTCCCAGCACTAACTCTTCGCAATGTGAAGAGAAACTTGCACCAGGCAGGAGAAGCAAGTCCACTGTTAAGTGGTTATTACCAAGTCCTAAAGAAGTCTCCTCACCCACTGGTGGGGTTCATTGATCTTAACTCTAAGAAGAAGGGGTTGGAATGCATCAATGTGTTTGCTTTTTTATTTTACAGTGGAATTCTTTTTTTCAAAGAAAACTTAAGCGAAACCTAGTGTATAAAATATCTAACAGTCGCCCTGATCTGAGCTGGGAGCCCAGCAAGAGGCACATTCTGCATCCTCCTCACTCCATTCCCCTATCATTCTTCCTAAAAGCATTTCTGAGAAAAGGGAAGGTCCTACTGAACATGATCCTTCTCTCCTCTGGCATCTTATGATTCTATAATGTACATGAACCATCAAAATTCATAGAATGGAATACTATTTTAAGGAGATTAATTTTAAGAAAAATTTAAGGAGAAAATGAAACTGGAAGAGAATGGGAAACAAAATCTCTGGCTAACGTCCAGAGTGGGTCATCTAGGCATGAAGTAAGTTGTTC